CAATCTGCCACCATGGGGGCGCATCCAATGGCAATCCAGCAACTTCACATGGAAATATTACTTTAACCTTACATTGACTTTTCGTAATATGTTACAAGGAAGCACGTAACATGGTCACCTTAAACAACATGTTGTTCATTCCAATCACGTTGTTCTTTCAGTGTAAGCGTACTAGTTACAAAATAAGGACATGTGAATATAAAGAAATGTGTTGAAAACAGAACTAACTCGGCAATACCGTTAATTTGGCCGCTAACATATTTTTTTATCATATCAAATGACGGAACCAACAAAACTGATGGTAAGCGACATGCCTATCTACAACAATTGCAGTGCCACTCTAAGCTTTCAATCGCCCTGAGACACACGTTGACAAGTTCCATGTGCCTTTAATTACACCAGCATCATTACCTTTCAAAACCGGAACTCTTTCACAAAGAGCTCTGCTGCTACTAAAACAAAATTTCATATGTCGTTGTAATGGCAAATTGATATTTCAACAATTATCCCACTAAGTCAATTTAATCACCACCACAAGAAAACACGATGCGCTCATATGAGTAGATAGTGGTGAATAAAGAATTATTCTCCTCTCTGTTATAATAATCGTAATTCTACATAATGGGATTACGTTATTTCAATGGTCGCAGAGGAGATATCAAAATAAGGCAAAGCCATTGGTTGTCAAACATATCCCTCTTCTCATTGGTGGATATTCGACATTATAGTTGCTATGTAGCCTAAAGTAATGTCGTAAATATTTATGCTGCTAACAAGTACGTTTCCGCAGGGACTAAGTTTGTTATATTAGAAGTCCTGAGCTATGTTATGGAGTCAAAATTATTTAAACATTATAGATTTTAGACTAAATCTTATAGTTCGGTTGGTAAACGCGTTGGCCACAGCGTAGAAATAGACGCTGGTAAGTATTTTCACAAAAAAAAAATGTAAAATGATTTTTGTTCCTGGTCATTTTCTAATTGGTTAATACCATTGTAATAATCACAAAAGCAAAATTGCCGGGAGAAATATTTGTATAGCCTACATTTATTTCTCACGTGAATTTGGGTGCAATTTGTGGTTGTCTATGCGTATATTCATGGCACCCGCGATATAGGGTTGCCCTAACGAGTGTGTGCGCTGTTGTTGTTAAAACTTCAGGGGTATAGCACTCTTTTATACTTACTAGCTGCTCAGTTAAATAGAAACCCATACTATCCGATACATTTTCATCTGTTATTACATTACATGGGTCTGATTGGTTTGGTTTGGTTCTGACTGAAAACTAGCGCCACAGTGAACTTAGGCATGTTCTGACTCAACGCGCTTCTACTGCTAAGACAAAAATGTTTTTATTTTTCCTCTTTTATTTAACCTTTAATAGTGTCCTATTAGTGAAAGAAGTGTTTACCTAATCTATCTAATTAAATATTACTTTTTATTCTGATTTTGCGTAACAAGGCCGCTGTTTGAATATAAGTCTATATGACAAAGTTTGAGAACATTTTCTAAAGTAATAGTTTCATGGCATTATTTTCAAACTTTGCACTGTTATTATAAAAAGCAATGTTAGGTGGAGTTTCGATAAAAATATGCTTTGAAATTCGTAGGCACAAATACCTGTAGACGCCTCTCCAATTAGTGAAGGTAGTCAATGGATTGTGCCTCTCCAATCTATCGAGAGCGAGCGAAAGGGACCTAAGTCAGCAGAAGTCGATCGACAAAAGCCTTAATTTCATTTTATCTGAACAAAAATTGTTTTAGAGCTTCATTTCAGTTTACTTTTGATAATTTTGCTTAAAACATTAATTTAATAAAGTACAAGGATTACGTAATAGAAAAATTGCTTTCTTATGATTTTCGCTGATATCTTAAAAGAAACTTTATTCAAATACATAACACGTTTAAAAGTAGACTAAATTAATTTCCCATTCAAAAAGCATAGAAAAATAAAGTCACGACTTCCGGAAAGCTCACGCATTAAGTATGAAGATGAAGTATAATAATTTAATAATTAGTTTTGTAAGTGTCTATCCTACACCCTGACTAGGTCATGTACCATACAACATTTTCTTAAAAGACCTATTTATTGTACATATTATGCAATATGGAAATAAATAAACGAATTTAAAGAAATAGTAACAAATATGGCGGTACAATGAGTATTGTAGTGCGTATAAATACACTTCACACCCTTTTTCAAACGAAACACACAAAAAGAGATAGAATAGCAGTGGCCAAGTACCGCTTATATATTACCCAATTCTTTTTTTTTATAAAGGTTTATGGCCCGGTTGCAAACCTTTAGGCCAATTTAACCAATCAGAAGGCAGTAGAGCATTTGAGTAGCCACGTATTTGATATTTTAATTAGCAAAAATACTTTTTTTTAACTTCTTATAGTTCTGTGTACAGAATTATAATAGGCATCATTTTCAGTTACTCATAAATTTCAGTTCGGTAGCGAATACCATAGACAGTAAAATTTGATTCAGAACTAAAAAGGCATCCTTGTGATTATGAAATTATAATTAACATATATATAGTACAAGAATAGAAAAACACCTTTATAATACTTCTATAGATATAGTATAGATATTGAAGCCAGTGTACCTTTATGGAGGATTATTTTCACATCTTCTCGTGTTACTCTTCGTTTGCTATTGCGTAACAACACAACACTTTACTACATAAACATGAAATAAGCAAGATAATAAGTAAATATCATTGACTTACAATTATATGGACGTCGGGTCCGCGCTAAAAAGTGTCCGAACTTATAGGGCGTTAAAATCGTATACAGAGCGTCATTCACGCTTTAGTCTGCGTTTGTTCGACTGACAGCGAAGCAAGCAAAATTAGACAGTACTGCGATGACATTACAGTTTAAATTCAACGTTTTAGCTTTTTCATATTCCTTTACATGTCACTACGTTTAAATAGGTTGACTTGGAATATTTTTTGGTTTTTGTATTAAACCCGTCGTCCTTTTATTTGTAAGTCAATGGTAAATATTGATGAAATAACAACAGCAAATTTGATGACTTTAGAGACGTAATTTTCCTTTTATATGCCTTTGCTAACCATTACAGTATTATTATTAAAATTAATGTGGTTTTAGATAACCATTCATTCATGATTGCGAGAAATGATACAAAGCAATAAGATGTTATAATGAAAAAAATGTTATACTGTTGCATTGTGGAAAGGAAAATCCCCTACGACCTGGTTTCATCGTACCTCAAGAGCAACCACCACTAGGTTGCGACATACGGTCGCCCGTGTGGAAGTCCTTAAATCGCCTTCGCATTCAGGTGGGACGCTGCAGAGACACGATATGTAAATGGGGTTTCAAGGATGCTAGTCAAACCTAATGTGACTGCGGTGCCCCAACGAAGTCCATGAAGCACTTACTGTTGTGCTCCTTGTGTCCTAATAACTGTACGAGGATCTCTACGCGGTCACGGATAGCGCAGTCAAAGTAGCAACATACTATTCAGTGTCAATATAGTCCTAATATAAAAGAAGTATAGACACGATAATAAGAACTGAAAAAAAGAGCTTTAAGTCACAAAGATCTGATGGGTACTGCCGCTGCTTCACCCTGAAATATAAGTTGACAAGTCCCATGTTCCGGAACGCGGCAATACTCACGTTACTGCTTGGCGGCAGAAATTTGTAAGATGGGAATACTTCCTTGCACAAACTTTTGTAAGGATCTCTATATGTACTACAATCTTAAGGAATGAATTGAATTATGTGATTGATTCCATGAAGAGTTATGAATAATTCAATTAAGATCCACTTGAGAAGCGTCCGCTTTCTTCCCAGTATAGTAACTTGTATGCTAAGTCTGAATTAAATTATTATATTAACCCATTGACTTACAATACTATAGACTCACATTTGCTAAGAAAAGCACCACAAAAATCGTCCGGGCGGTAGGTATGAATACGTATACATTTATTTATATACACATCAGTAGTACTTTCATTTAAATTTAGACATTATGTCTTTTTCGTAAAGTGCAATGTTAATCAAATGCACTCCACTGACACAAAGTGTCAACTTCACCTACTCGAAACGGCTTATAGAAAGCAGTGGAGACGCTCTTTAAAATAAAACAAATAAAATATTTTAATTATTGTATTATAAAAAATCGAAATACTAAAAAGTGACTTTAATGGATGGGTAGGAATAAAACGATGGGTATGAAAGTGTTCTAGGTAGTTTTGGTGATAGTAGGGTGAATGAGAATGGTGTAAGTGTGTTAGAGCTATGTTTGGAGTGGAATCTTTGCATGACAAACAATTGCAATAATAGCAGTCCATTCAGAATGCCGTAAGGGGTTCCGTGGAAATCTAAAACCAATTCGTACATAAAAGCTATAATAGTAGCGATACATATTCGTAGATCGTGTAAATATGTTAGTTTAATTTCGATCTTATTTTCTACGTACTTGTCCTGTCTAGTTTATATAAATAATCACAACATTAAATGAAGAGACTAAAAAAATTATAAAATGTACAAATGATACTCCACAACTTTCCTGTTCCTGTACTGCTTTACGCGCCATTATTGATGCGAAGTCGACGAACCGCGTTTGTCTCTTTTACTCTCTAATATTTCAATATCGCGTAAAAGAGAGGGTCGCGAACTAAGCGTCCCAATGTTGTGTTTTAAATTTATAAAATATAAAATAGAATTCCGGACTTATGTGTATTATAATATCATGAAATCGTGAATTTGATATGAGACTTTCCTGAAATATGACACTCCATTATTTTTGCTTGGCTTTCTAGTATCATTTGCACAATTTTTCACAATACAGTTAGGCATTGCGTCGCGTAGTGCTTGTGACAAGGACGTAATACGACTAAATCAAAAAGTCAGATCTCTCGTAGCGTGATCTAACTCTAGTCTCCGACACTTTTATAGCGCGACTGTGAGTCTATAGTATTGTAAGTCAATGTATTAACCCATTTTTTTTCTTGTCTGCAGTATCATCAGCTCAAAGAGAGCTCGGAAAGAGCCTCCCATCAAATGCGTCAGCAACGGCACCGCCCGTGGGTACAGTCGACAACGCCATCCGCACAGGAGTGGCAGTGGAACCACCCAGACCTACACCCCGCACCGGACCTTACTTTGACCTAGCTGCTTCGAAGAACGTCACCGCGTTGCTGGGAAAGACTGCTTATTTGAACTGTCGGGTGAAGAATTTAGGAAATAAAACGGTAAGTTTATTTTTGGATATCATTACCGTCTAATTTTAGTTTCATTTTCATCTCTCTTCTTCTTAATATACTTATCCAATGCTAGATGGGGTCGGCTCATTGACATGTATTAAATTAAAGAAAAAAAAAAGAGCCAATTCGTTATAATAAAAATGCGGAATAAGTCCATTCTGCACAAAAGTAACATAATTTTAACTCAACATGAATCAATTCATTTTAGCATAGTTTTAAAATAGTGGTGTGCCTTTTCTAAAAAATAATAATAAGATCGACTTTATTAGATATGCAAGAACACATAAACCACAGCAATTGCAATATTGGAAATGATACTATTTTTCCGGATTTAAATCGCGTATATTTGTTTTTTCAAACAAACCGACGTTTCGGGCCCTTTACAAGTCCCATGGTCACGGTTGACTGAGGTGGTACAGTCTTCAACCAGTTATGTCTAATGTTAATGCAAACCACCCTATTTTTTCATTATAGTTACAATAGTTATTAATTAAATTACTTGTTTTTAATTTTACAAAGAAAACATTCCATTTTACGCTACATTAAGTTTTACAAATTATTTTATTGAACGAATTTTTATTAAGTTCAAATCATTATTAATTAATAATAGAAATTAGAGTAAACTAAAACATATTAGTTAGTACTACAGTCGTATGTCTGTTTGGGGTTTTAAATCAGAGGAAATACTGGATCCCAAACTGGTGGTACGGAGAAACCATCTTCCCTGTTGAAATTAGGATGTTTTTTAAATTCAATGGCCTCTCGTAGCATCCTGGGTAGATAACGGACTTCTTTTGCAAGGACCTGGGGTTTGTCAAACAACATTGAATATGTAGGTTTATCCATGAAATGCTCGCAGACTGCAGACTTGTTTACACGACGGTGTTTGCCATCAGCTGTATGTTCTTTGACGCGGGTACTTCGCTTCTTTTGTCCAATATAAGAGAGACCGCACTCACTGTCAAGCTTGTAAACTCCTGCATCCTGTAAGGGGATGTTACATTTCACGGGTCTCAGGAACTGAGAAATCTTTCTCAGGGGCTTGAAATAGGTCTTGATAGATGCACGCCTGAAGACTCTTCCGATCTTGTCTGTAACACCTCTCACGTAAGGTAAAATGGCAGGTCTTCGCTCGACTGTTAGTAGTAAACTTATTCGCATATAGGACTTGCTTTATATGCTGAAGTTCCTCTGCCAGATGATTACTATCGCAGACACCATGTGCTCTCTGAAACAAAGATTTGCCCAGGGTAGCTAACTGGCTAGGATGGTGATGGGAATATCTATCGAGATACCTATCTGTATGGGTTTTCTTTCGAAATACAGTATGGCCTAAGGTGTTATTAGGATTTCTTTTAATTAAAACATCTAAGAAAGCTAAAGTACCATAATTCTCTTGTTCTATAGTAAATTCGATCTTAGTACTAAAAGAATTAAAATGATCCAAGAAAGAAGATATGCTATCTTTAGGTAACATTGTGAAAGTATCATCAACGTACCGTTTGAAAATCCATGGGCAAAACTCGCTCTTCGAAGTCTTCCATGAAAATATCGGCAACAACGGGAGATACCGGGGAGCCCATCGTTATACCACCAATTTGTAGGTAGAATTCATTTTTCCACAATAGATAGCCTGACGTTAGGCAGTATTCTAATAATTCTGTATATTCAATGGACATAATATGTTCCCTTAGCTTTCTACGTACAATTAAATTAAATCCGGACAAATCGTTTCATTTCCTATGTGTAACATTCGCGAAAACCTAAGAACTCGATATAATTGCAATAGTGTTCTATAAAGTTATAAAGTAGAAAGTAATCTGTAATTTCAAGGACTTTTTTGTTTTTACTATACGTATCTTACCTACGTGTCTTGTCACGGAAAATTTTTTGCTGTAAAATACACTTAAACAAAAATTCGTCTCAAGATGAAGATTAATCCTTAAAATGCTGAGCCCGCGTATTGAATTTACTCGCCCCAAGCTGTTATATTTATTTGACATTCAAAGGATTCTCAATATTTTGTTGAATTGTAAATAATTTCGAAACGTTTCATTGAAATAAAATAACTCTATTAACTGCAAAGTCTTTGAGCTCAAAAAATCCATTTGCGGCTTTCAATATGTTTTATTTCTAAATGTGTTCCATAAGTACCATGCAGAATAATTTAAGAGGTGATTTATCATAAATATTCAAAGACAAATTAAATTTTTACCAGTTATCCTTTTCCTTAAATGTATTTTTTAAATTATAATTCACATCTTTCTCTACCAGTGGGATGAATGACATTTATTAATTAAAACCACTTATAATTTAAATTTAGTAATAATCATTTATTTATACTACACTATATATTAGTTATCACCAGAGTTTGAAAGAAACGTGAGTTCTAAAGCCATTACGTTATGGCGAACTTCGTTTGAAAGCTTGTAAAAGTACCTTCATGCATAAAACTATTTTTATAACGGCGCCAAAAATGTACAAAATTTACCGAAGGTATTTAAAAACAATTAAACAACTTATTGGCTAATATAGTGTCCTGACCCTATTATACCTGATGATCTGACACTATTCACCTACAAACATAGTTATACGATATTATTCACGTACGAGACCCTATTATAAATAGTGTCAGATCTCGAGCGCCTATTATAGTTTTGACCCGGCCTAAAAAGTGAAGCTGTGTGTGTGTTTTCCCTGTATGTATTTAAATAAAACGTGTGTTAGTGTTAGTAGCAATAGAGCTCTTATGTAAGAGTTCGTTTTTTTATTATATCATGTGACGGGATGAACAAGCGTGGCACTGTTTTTTTTTATTGGGCACAAATAAAAAAAATGTAATTGTGATTGGTTTTGAGTTGTTATTGTTATTTTATGATTTATTAAGCTGTTGTGCTTCCTATAACATACATAAATATATAATTAGTTATTTCGTAACTCAGACATAAATGTTTATTGTTATAGAATTCTGAGTTATACTTAAGACTGATATTTTTATGCCTAAAATTATTAATACTTTTTGAGATACCAACTGAGGGAAGAACAAGTGGCGTGTCTTGTGTTGAAATAAAATTGCAGTGCCACTCAGAACTTTAAATCGCAAAGATGTAAGGGGCACTGCCATTGTCGTCACCTTGGGACAGAAGTTGACAAGTTTCACGTGTTTTTATTTTCACCAGCACCCTTACCCTTCAAAACTGCAACATATAATGCTGGCAGAAATAGTTACTTACTTCCCTGGGCGAATTCTTCCACTAAGAGTTCTACTACTAATGTCAGTACTGCCACATATCTATTTCCACCGCCAAGCAGTAATGTAACATTACTGCCTTCCGGTTTTGAAAGGTAAAGGTGCTGGTGAAACTACTACTACATGGGACTGGCCAACTTTACATTTTAGTAACAGTAGTGCTTCTTGTGAATTAGTTCGTCTAGGGAAGTGCTGCCACTATACCAATTTCTGCCGCCAAGCATTACCGCGTTCCGGTTTTGAAAGCGCTGGTAAAACTATAGTCACATGTGACTTGTCAATTTAAGCCTCAGGGTGACACATGCAGTGGCAAAAGCTCTGACTGCATTGCACGACTATTTATTGATATCATGAAAGAACTTCGTGAGCTTTATGCCGTACGGCTAATAGTAACCTCAAAGTTCCATTTAATTTGAATTCGTATTCTTAATTTACTTAAAACCCTCAACGTAGTATTCTTTAGAACAAAAATGTAAATTACGTTCACGCATATCATTATCCCTCGCAAAATTCTCTCATGGAAAGCGGTGCACTAAAAAATCTACTCAACAACAAGCAGCCCAACACATTCATATGTACCACGTTGTCACTAACGAGTTCGCCGTCCAATTTACATAGCGGTCTACCACAAACTCTTCGCTTAAAATGAAACATAACAATAGCACAATGCAACTTTAAAGTCCCGCCATTGTATCCAACTTTATAAATAAAAGTCTCATTAGGGCAACGGCGCATCTTCCATATAAATAACAGGGTACGGCTAATGAGTTATTTCTGCTTGGTGAACGAGTTAAAGTATAAAGCGATTATTTGTGAGGTGTCTTTAAAGGGTTTTAAATTTAAATTTAATTTCTAAATTTAATTTTTAATCGACTTCAAAATTCAAAAATAGGAGCAGGTTCTCAATTTGAATGTATTTTTTTGTTGGTTACTTCAGTAGTGGTCCCATTTCAATTTGAATAAAAATTTCCACCGCTAAGGGTAGCAAACTAGGGAATGAATGACTTTGGTCGGTTGTTTTAGTACTTTTTACAGAGATTATTATCTCATGAAAAGTTCTCGTTTTCATTCATTAAAGTGCTGCTAGCCTAGTGCAAAAATCCTTACTTCTCAGTTGAGTCTGATAGTGAAGAAAAACATTCTGATGAAACATTCGAAGTTTCACGATCTTTGAAAAAGCTTTGAAGTCCCCAACCCGCATTGGAGCAGCATGACTGACTATGCCCTAAATCCGTGCTCAACGGCGGACGCATAAAAATGATGATAATTACATTAACACTAACATATCCTTATTTGAGACCAGTAATATAAATAAGTAATAAAAATATAATATCATAAAATAATACTTACTACATGAAATAATTATGTACTAATTTTGTCCGTTAAAACCACTCCTCCGAAATTTAAAATTTTGCTGGTGTGGCTATAATACAGATTGAAATAGAGAATGCTTTAAAGGACCTAAAAACCGAATTTAAACAAAATATTAGTATAAAATTAAAACAAATTACCACTGAAGAAAATATTTCTACCATAGAACAAAAAATTGAACGTCTACAATATGAAAACTCTAAATTACATGCAGCGAATAAGGAAATCCAAGATGAACTCAATAACCTGAAAGTATATATTCATAAAATATCACCAGATAAAACAGAAAACACATTCAATAACTATGTTGTTTTACATGGCCTGTCTTCCCATTATAGTGAATCTGATGATCAATTATTTGATCGAG